CCTGTACATGTGCTTTCTTAAGCAGGGGGACCTTGCGGGTGCTGCAGGATTTCAGTCCTTCACAGCGTAGTGTGTTACCAATTGTTTTCTTGGTGACGATTGTCCCAGCTGCCTCGCGATCATTAACAAGATCCTCCCATGTAGTTCTGGGCTGATTCCTCACAGTGGGCAAATGTTCAAAATCAGCAGAGGATCAAATACTTTTTTACCTCACTGTACCATGCAGATAAATATGTTTTTTTTTGTGTCATACAACACCTTACAGGAGTTTTAGGTCTATGTTGGTTGTGTTCTGTGGTCTGGGAGTAGAATAAACATCTCTGGTTTTACTTTTGTAGGTTTTGTTTTAAAAATATTACAAAGCAGAATATGTTGTTTTTTTTCTGTAGAATTTTGAGATGGTTGATACAGATATAAATATAAGAACCTTTCTGGCAATACTCATTATTTATCCATCTGCCCAGTGCTCTCAGCCAAGGGCAGTACAAAGGGCAACTCCAACCACAAAAAAAATGTGTTTTTTGAAAACACTGTTTTTGTTTACAGTAACCCTTCCAAAAAAAAAAAAAAAACAGGAAAAAAGGAAAGAATACAGCTAACTCGAACCTTTGTTCAGAGAGCAGAGACCAAGAGGAGAGGGGTCTCACCAAATTTGCACAGAATTCACATTAGCCAGCACAGAACTCTTTGGCAGCAGACGAGTAAAAACTCTGTATGTGTTGTGTTTCATAGCAAAATAATACACATACAGACTTCAGGCACAGTGAAGTGGTTATGGTGCTTGGAGTAATCCTTTAACTCCGCATTATCAATGGCGCTGATGTTGAGTATGTTCTCTGAGCACTAAAAAAAGCCCTTTTTCATGTAAAGCTCCTAAAGTGTTTGATATTAAACTATGGGTATGTTGCAGTTCTACTCTAAGAAATGTAGCCAGAACAGAAAAATATAGTAGTTAAGTTTAACTTTTAATTAGACATTGTGCTGATTCGATGAAGCCATTTACGAAGCCATAATCCTTTTTGTTTTGCTATTTAAAAACCGACTTGTAGTTATATACTGGCTATGAAAAACTTATCTTAATAGTTTGGAATTGTAACAGAGGATTAGAGAAAAGCAGATTTGGTGGCTATATTTAAAAAAAGGTTCAAAGGCTCAACCCGGAAACTACAGTAGTTGGTAAATTATTTGTAAGTTTACTAAGGGATAATATTCAATAATTAATTTTGAACAACAATATCATTAGAGTAATCAAATAGTTTCTCATATAAACTAACTTAATTGACTTATATGAAGAAGTAGAAATATAGATTGGGGTGTTCCAATCGACATTATATACTTGGATTTTGCTAAGGCATTTGGTTTATTCCTCCACACCGCCCATCTCTGTCATTCCCCCAGCCACCAATGTGTGTCATTCCCTCAGCCCCCCCATGTGTGTCATTCCCCCAGCCCCCTATGTCTGTCATTCCTCCAGTACCATGTCTGTCATTCCCCCAGCCCTCTATGTCTGTCATTCCCTAAGTCCCCATGTCTGTCATTCCCAAAGCCCTCCATGTCTGTCATTCCCCCAGCACCCTCCCCCATGTCTGTCATTACCCTTACACTCCCCCCCAAGCACTTTCTGTCAGACTAGGGTGAGGGAAACAAGCCCCTCTCCCCTGGTCATCACTCTTCCACACTAAATACAGGGCCGGGCAGTAGGGGAGCGCTGTGCTGCGCTCTCCTCCTGCCGGTCAGCCAGGTCTGGACTTTGCTAAGGAATTTGGTTTATTCCTCCAGGCTGCCTATATCTGTCATTCCCCCAGCCCCCTATGTCTGTCATTCCCCCTGTCCCATGTCTGTCATTTCCCCAGCCCCCTATGTCTGTCATTCCCCAAGTCCTCCATGTCTGTCATTCACCCAGTGTCATTCCCCCAGCCCCCTATGTCTGTCATTCCCCCTGTCCCATGTCTGTCATTTCCCCAGCCCCCTATGTCTGTCATTCCCCAAGTCCTCCATGTCTGTCATTCACCCAGCCTCCCCATGTCTGTCATTACCTTTACATTCCCCCCAAGTGCTTCCAGTCAGACTAAGATGAGGGAAACAAGCTCCTGTCCCCTGGTCCGCACTCTTCCACACTACATACAGAGCCTGGCAGTAGGGGAGCGCTGTGCTGCGCTCTCCTCCTGCCAGTTGGCCAGGTCATAAGCCCCCGGGGCCAATGCACCGTCAGGCGGCCTCCTCTGCCAACTTATGGAGCACCGGCCCTGGATTGTTGCACTATGATTATGACTGGTATTCAGCATTAAGAATATCATTATATATATATTAAGCTTTGCTGTCCACTTGTAAAGAAATTGTGACAGAACCATCTGTCTGTTTATTTCAGGTGTATTCGTCTGTTTCTTTCCTGTTCGTGTGAATGGCTGTTTTCTATAGCCCAGCCATACGAATGACTGTTTTTTCCCGAACAAAACTGCCGAACGGACGGCCACCCAGGAGAGAAGTGTGCTGCTGGTTAACCTATTGATCCTAATTAGAACATTGTGGTTAACCGCAGACACTTCTCAATTACACGAATTCAGGGTGGTCGTCATTCGTATGTGGACCACGAGGCAGCGGCCATTTTAAAACCACGCGAAAGCCCAGCGGTGTTCGGCTCTATTTTCATGGAACTAAAAACCGACACTTTTTCTGCCGAGCACCGCCGAAACAACGGAACGCCTGGCTGCCTCCACGAAAGCGTACGAATACCGGCCGTTCGGGAGTTTTGAAGCAGACGAAAGGACTTAACCCAGATAGCCTTCCCATGGAGTCATTCGTATCACGAAAGACTGTAAGAGCTTTGACTCCATGGCGATTGAACTATGTGTGTGGGATCTGAGCGCTATTCGCCAATAATATGCGCTCAGATCCAGTCTATCTGGGGATATGTGATGCGAATGGGAAATGTTCAGTCTTTGTAAAGTTATGTATTTTTATGTCTTTTCTGTTTTTATATTTAAAATGGCAACTGGCTTTGTCCTGGAGATAATTGAGTTACTTGGTAATTATCTCCAGGGCAGAGGGGAGGGAATCATAGTGCATTGTGGGTAAAAACTGTGACTGTGTGTCTGGAATGTCCCCATATCTGTCTGTCATTTAAGTCTCCCATTTGGTCCCCTAGGGGAGTGTCCACCAAGTGGGAGACCTGCATAAATACGGGCAGGTAGCCCACAGTAAAGCCAGATCCTGTTTGACCCTCAATGCGGAGCTTCTGTCTCGTTATTGGGGGGATTTCTTCTTCACGTTTAGAGACTGCTGGATGGAAACGAAAGCCGCTTGGTGGATGCTATTGTTCGGCAGGTAGCAGCAGTTCGTGTATTGCCGTTCGGGAGTTTGGAGCCGTTCACGGATCCCGGTCGGGAGATTGCCGCTTCC